GTCAAACATTTATATGAAAGAATGGGAGAAAGAGTTTGGCAAGTTGTTGCCAACAAAGGTGACAGGATAGAAAAATAACTTTAATACCTTGACAAAAAATAGAAATTTAGCAAAAAAAACTATGTCAAACTAATTAATTAAGCTTATATTAAAACTTATGGTTTTTTTTCTCTGATGGCATATTTGAAGTCTGGAGGATAAGGAGAAAGCTGAATGCTGAAAACTATAGCTCCTTCATTGTGGAAGATGTTCTGCCTGTCATAGAAGAAATCTTATCTTATTGTTCATCTAAGTTATATACACAGTAAAAATATTCGTTGAAAAAAAAACTAACTTTGTTGATATTTAACTTAGAGTTTTCAAAATTGGTACATAGACTAATACTGTTACATTGTTCTCAAATCTTTTTACAGAACTCAATTATCTGTTAGGGTTCAAAAGTTATAGCACCATGGAATTTTGTTGTTATATTCTACATGTAGGTCTATGTAAAACATTCGTCAGGGTTACATTAACTCAGTTAATAATTAAGATAAAGCTCTGAAATAATTTTTATATAGTAATTTTGGTATGCCGATTCCAAATCTTTTTACACAACTCAAATATCTCTTATGGTTCAAAAGTTATGGCAATGTAAAAAATGTGATGAATATTCTTAATATAAGGCTATGCATAATGACATTTGTCATGTAAAAACTAAGTTTATTATTATTGAAGAAAGAGTTTTGAGAAAAATAAATATGTTTATTTAGGTCTCTGTAAAATATTTGTCAGTTTTAATTAACTTTCTTAATATTTAGCATAGTCTTTCCAAATTCTTATCTCTTTTTGCCAAGTTTGTGCAAAGTTCTCACAGACAAGTTGGTTAGGTTATTAGTTGTTTCACACACATTTCATAGCATTACATAATCCTAAGCATTGATATATGATAACTCTGCTTCAAATTCCCACAGTTTCCAGCATATGCTATATATTCTTTCATTTATTTCAGACATTACTTCCAATTGAAAATTCAATTAGACAACATCACTTCAATTATCAGTAATCATCTCTGAATCCTTCACTCAACAGCAGAAATTGATAAATATTAAAATGGTATGTACATTTTTTCAATAAACATTAGCATTAAAAGTAGCACATTTTATTACAATATATTTTGATTAAAACCTGAAGAAGAGAATTCCCTATTGGAAATCTTCAACCTCTCTGTAGGTGTAGGTTAATAGACCCTGATGAGTCCTTGGTATGGAAAATAGAGAGGAAGACGAAACCGTGGTAGGTCGAATAGGTAGGAAAATTAAAAAAAAGACATTTTTTGAAAATTTTTTAAAAAGTTTTTTCTATTGGAAATTGCTCTAACAGTCGATTTTGGTGTATTTTTTCTTTGACTGCTTCCCAAAAGCAATTGGGACTCTTGAACTGTGAGAATTCTGTTTCTCCTTTTTGACAAAGTCAAAAAGAAACCTTTACTAACCCTAACCCCAAGACCTAACCTAACCTAACATAGAATTGAAGGAACATAGAATTGAATCTAGGTCTTCTTCTGTTACATTTTATGAAAAGTGACTTACCTGATTGTTATACCTACGATTTTTGAAAGGTTACCCTCTAATTACTATAGAACATAGGGTCAAGATACTGGTGATAGAGTCTAAGGCTGCCAGTCAGCCATCCTCACCATTAACCACCATTAACTTCAAAGCTCCATAGCTCTGCAACCGTTCAAATTTTGCACAGTTGCTCAGTTCAATTAGATCTAGCACTGTGTAAAATTTCATAACAATCGGACCAAGTTGAAATTTCAACTTTCGTCAGTGGTCGACTTGCTTTACTGACCACCAAGTAGGTGATTTGTAGCGAAAAAAGTGTGGGATTTAACCAGTACCTATCCTAAGGTATAGTAAGCCTCTCAGAGATCAGTCTGGTGGCAATCTAACCAGCCACTTTTCCCCTCTCACTTGATAAAGGAGGAATACCTCCAAAATATTGTGAGTTTTAATCTGGTGACATTGTTTTAGTTGCTAAATACAGGTTCTCTTCACCCTTGTGGAGAATTTGTAAGTGGTTTTGTTGGAGATACAGTTACAGCTCAGGCTGGGGAATTGCTACTCAAGATAGCAACTCCTCAATAGCTACACCAACCCTTAGCCAAAGCTTGGTTATAAGTGTGTGTGCACTTTTGGGATTACCAGTCTGTACTGATTGTGCTAATCCCTAACCCCAAGACCTAACCGGTCCAGGTAGAAAAAAACTCAAACACAACAGATAAAGTTGGTTTTAAAGGAAACTTGACGAACAGGAAAGAGCCATCACAAAGGCTATGACCAAAACTTACAGTTCTATTCACCAAATTGAAATCCTCAAAGAACACAACCCATGGACCAAGAAAGTCATGGACATGGTTGATGGTATTAGAATCACTGGGGGACCTATCACTGGTGATAGATTGAACAAATTACATGAAATAGCAAACAAGTGGGCACAAGCAACCAATGAACTTGTATTGGAAGAGTTAAATGACAGACTTAGCACCTTGAGAGATAAGCTGAGACAAATTGAGGAAGTATACAATCAAAACCAATTCAGAAGAGCCATTGAGGTCACAAAAAATAGAACCATCCAGAAATATGGCAAAAAGATAAATTGGATCCAACTCAAAGAAAGTGTTAGTCTAGTCTCCAATAATCTCAATGTCACGTTGGATGAGACTTTTAAAAGAGAAATTCGTGATAAATTCAAAGAACAACCAACCATCCAAAAAGCCAAAAAGCCACCAAACACTCAAAGAGCTAACAAAGGGGACAGCTCCAAGATAGATAACTCTGAAATACAAAACTTGAGAAAGGAACTGGCTATTCTTACAGATGTCTTCACTGAATTGAGATCTAAAATTGTAGGGGAACAACAGGAAATGGAACAGGGAAAAACTACAAATGTACATAGAAATGTTTTTAAAACAATGTTAAAAATAATAGAAACAAAACAGAAATGGTTTTTAACCTATGCAAGAGCTCCAAAATTGACAGCTCTGAAATGAACATTTTAGAAAAGGGTCTGGGATTTGCCTGGACCTGGCAAACAAAAGAACTTACACACCTATACTACACTGGAATTCTTGATTACACCATGAAATGGCTTAAAATTCTCAACAGAGATGGCACACCAAAATTTAGAAATAATCCACTCAAGAGGAGATTGATGGATATCCAACAACCCTCTCTAACAAACATAATGAGAGAACTCAATCACTTGTCACTGAGCCACCTCCCAGAAACAGACCACATGTTGGATAAAATATATTCAATCATTGGACATGCAAAAAAGTACCAAGAATATTCAAATAAATACAAGGAACAAAGCTTAGTTAAGAAATTCCTAAAAAAACATCCCAACATCATCATAAAGCCAGCTGATAAAGGAAGGAGGATTGTTCTGATGGATAAGGAAGACTAACATATATGAAGCCCTTACACAACTAATGGACAACACCACATATAAACCAGTCAAGGAAAGAACAAGCAAAAAACAATGGCCCAGAATCAATAACATTATTACAGAGCTAACAAGGCTCAAACACATCAACACAACATTGGCTAAGATGATGATGGCAATAGAATTTTCTATTTACTGCCAAAAATCCACAAAAATGCAAAAGACTGGAGGATTCCATCTAGAATTCCAAAGGGAAGACCTGTAGTTAGTTACACAGGATCTGACCTATACAAAATCTCCAAACTGCTGGACCACTACCTGGTTAGAATGGCTAAAACAACCACCAGCTACATCAAGAACACCCAACACTGTATAAGCAAATTACAACAAATACAAAATTGGCAAGACAGGCACATATACACAGCAGATGTTGAGGCACTCTATCCAAGCATCAACCCACAATGGGGATTGATGGCTATTGGGAATTTTTTGTCTGAACACAAAGAAGAAGGGAGACCAGATGAACTCCTACTGGATCTCTTATGGATCTGCTTGACCAACAATGACTTTGTATTTGGGGAACATAGATTCCTACAAAACAAAGGAACAGCAATGGGAGACCCCTTCAGTCCAACATATGCCAACATTTTCCTACATAAGAATTAACCCTGAAAAGTTACTTTTAAGTAGAAACAGATTTTTTTATAAACAATCCTACACTGAAAAATAAAAAAATTGTTTTTCTCTTTTTGTTATAAAGATTTATTTCTAGTTTGATGAAAGCACTGTAGCATATGTCTCAATTGATTGCCAAGACAGAGAATATTTTGTTCTTTTTCATAATTTTCAGTAGAGCAGGGTTCTAATTCTTCTATTATATCAATGATATTCTATATATATAAATATGTATGTATATTTTAAAGATCTTTTAAGAAAAAACAAAAAAAGCAAATACCAAATTTTTCTTGACTAAATATTCAATTTTTTCATTAATATAAATATTTGAATTATGAATAACTTTACAAATTTCAAAAATTAATCTTATTTTCTTTAATATACTCAAAACATTTTTATAATTGTTTATAGTAAAAACAAATGGATTTGTCTCCTGATAAATAAGTGTCATACAAATATTCATTACTGAAATAGAAAAAGGCGGAAAAACTGATAAAAAAGATTTAAATAAATATTTTGGTTTTTTTTTTCTTACATGAAAATATTTCGGTTTTAAGAATGTATTCCTTGTTTTTTTGTCTATTTTGGTGGAAAAAAATTACAGATATATATATATTAATTAAATGCAATAGGAATTGGGAGAAAACATCATAACTGTGTAAAGTTTGGGGTTACATTACGGGCTTTCTTCAGTTTAGGAAAATTGTAATCATTTCAGTTTTAGCTTAAGGTTGGCCTACACTGAATGTTAGGAGGATTATAATGAAGACAAGCTTCCTAACTGATGAGAAAGGGTTAGGGTTAAAATCCAAAAAGTAGGACATTTTCTCCCATATCAAATGCAGTAATGATTTTAAACTTTTTGAATTCTTTTCTAATTTTTGAAGTTTTATATGCAATTTTCATTTTTGAACTAAAAGTGAAATTATAGAGGAAAGGCAGAACTAATAATGGACTAGAAAAATATTTCAATTCACTAATTTCAAAGCCAGCTTTCCCAAAAAGTCCTATAAAAAAAGCAGTTATAGAAAATGACAAAAACATAATCACAAGATTAAAGTTTGGTATTAAATTGTTTTAATTGGTTGATCATTTTTAAGAACTCAAAAGCTTTAAAAACAAAAATTTTGGATATGTTTTGTCCAGTTTGAAAAAAAAATAAAGTTATGTCAACATTACCAATTATTTGTATGAAAATAATACTTGTAAAAAAACCTAAAAATCTTACTAAAATCACTTTTTGATGTTTAAAATGCCATAATATTTTTTTATAGTGAAGTAGTACAGCTGACATTATATAGAAAATTGGTATGATATAGATAAATATCATTAGTGCTATACCAAAATATTTTGTTTCATCAATAGTGAAAAATAGATAGGAACATTCATATTGAAAAATTGTAACTTTGTCATTCTGAGAGGAAAGTTTAAGAGACATTTAAAAATGTAAAAGGTATAGAAATACCTATTTTAAGTAGATTACTTGAAAAGCAATAGCAAAGGCTATAGTTACAAATAAGGCTAACAAACTGGAAAATAAATACATCAACCTATGTTTTAACAGTATAGATGTTTGTTGATTGAGTACAGATGGTAAATTCCAAATAAAATGACCAGTGTAGAAAAAAAAAAAGAAAAATGTAGAAAAATTTAAAAATGATAAGCAAAGAGAACATAATCCACTTTTAATCCACTTATGATAATAATCAATAAAAACATCATTTTCATGTTGCATTGACAATATGAGTAGTATAATATGAAAGGTTACAAATATATCAGTAATAATTCTAGTAGCATCATCCAATAATGTATAAGATTTA